GTTTTTTTATTTTAGGGAAGGTCTACAGGGTGTTCAGGGTCTCACTATTAGATCAGACTCCTAGTGATCCGCCTGTTTACAGCCTCCCAAGAGCTGGGATTACAGGTATGTGCCACCACGTCCAGTCTCAATTGCCATCTCAGTGCACCCCAGGGGCAGGACTGACACGGCAGACCAGAGGATCGAACCCCTGGCCTCTGCACCAGCTTGCTGGTGCTTTAATCTGCTGAGCTATATGGCCAGCGCTTAAAGCCTGTTCTCTTAATCATTTATATTGTTTGTTTATTTGCTTGTTTTCTGTCAATTTATTGGGCCTAGATGTGCTTAATCATGTGTTCTAACAATGAGCTGCACTCCTAGCCTGAATCATTCATTTCAAGTCTGTACCAACTACATATGTGCATGTATGATATGTTTTCACAGAAACATGACTATCTATCTATCTCTATCATCTATCTATCTATCTCTATCATCTATCTATTTTTCTGCCTTTAATCTTTTCTGTGGCCATTAGCTCTTATTTCTAAATTGTGTAAACCCAGAATACAAAGTAAAGAAAGGATGTCTTACAAAACACAGAATCAATAGAAACAAACCTAATGCAGCACACCTTTTCACTTTGATCCTGTATCAGTCATAAGGAGAGCCTTATCCTACTAATAGAGAATTTTACATTTAAACCCATTCACTTGGACTACAAAAAGTAATACTCAACAGCCCAATTTACTGCTAATTCCCGGATGCTTAGGTGGAAAACTCCACCAGTAACCTGAATGAGCGCTTAGAACACTAACTTGCTTTAATCTCACCTAAAACTCTTATCTGGCCATGAGGTGGCTTGAGAGGTTGAAAGCTTCCAGAAAGCTCCAGGGAGCATTCCACAGCATTCTTCAATAGTGAAGTGAAAGTCACTCAGCTGAGCTCAGCAGTCCACAAAAGCATTAACTAGGGAGATACCTTACATTAAATTCTTGCTAATGCTGTGAAATAAGATTGTGAGTAAATTTGACTCTTGTTACTTGAATTACTTAAGAACTGGGATAATTCCAAAGATGCTTCTCTGAAACAGTTTACTTCACATTCTTGATGAAGATTTTCAGGCTTTTGTAAAAAGCATTCTTTGGGTTCTAAAAAACCATGCCAAGAAAACCCATCTAGATAAAAATCTTATATAGGGTGATTTTTTCAGCATCAATAATGATGTGGTTAAGAGGAATACAGAATCCTTACTCAGAACGGTTTTTGTAAATCTCTTTAAGTGAATTTACAGTACATAGGTGTCTAATTTATTAAAATTGTATACAATGGAATGACATGAAAATAGCATTCCATACTCTAGAGTTCAGTTTCCACTTTCTACTTCAGAATCATGAACTAAGAGCTATAACAGTTAGTTCTTTGCTTTTGTTTGGGCCTTCTTTGCTCACTTTGGGAAACTTGAGGCTGTTGGGTTCATTGGGAAAAGGATACCTGAACTAAAAACTCTATAAAAATTGGTACTATCTTTTTCTCACTAAGTCATTCAAAAATACCATTCTTGGCCCTGTTCTGCTTGTAGGACTCTCTTCTCCATGCCAGATTCAAGGCTAATTTAGGACATGGTGGGACTTGAGCACTTGATATCAATATTTTCC